GCACTACTGCATTTTCCTTTACGTCAGGGTTACCCCACAGTCTGCGGATAATTGCCAGTGATTTCATCTTACCAAACATACGCTGGTTATCCCACCCAAAGCAAACCACACACACCACTTTTCTTTTTTCCATCAGACCAGGGGGCCGGACACGATGGATTACCAGCCCAATTAGGTTCGCACTTTGATTGGACTTGCTATGCCGATTAGGGTTACCCAACTCACAGACCGAGGTATTACATAATCTCCCTGGAAGAGACTATAGGATGATCCGACTAGGTCTCCACATCAAAATCATCCCTAAACTCGCCTCTATACCGCGACGTGCAACCCATAAGATAAACTGTAAATATTTTTGGCACTTGATTCGTTTCTCTGATTGGGATGCATTTTCCTCTCTATCAGCGTGTACATTGCTGTGAAACCGTTTTATAATTATACCTACCAAGCTATAGCCGTCCTTACTCCCGAATATGATCGTATTTCTTATATCTGCAAAGTTGCCGTCAAATACTCAAGCAGCCAGAAAACTAGAATATTAGCTGCAAGATACAGAAAGCCACATGAGTTTTCATTTTCCTTACAAATGCACAAATACACCACCAGCTAGACATGCGTAGTTAACACGGCAAAAATTAAAGAACATATACCTCTACGAACAAGCTGCAAGGCAAAGGAGATTGTCAAAATACTGCGTGGTAGAACCTGTGCTAGCTCTTCTTTAGTTACTACAACTGTTGATGGTAAGAGCCACTTCCTTACCCAGCCACAATCTCTGAAGCATTCAGTAATCTTTGCCACTTGCATTAGTCTCGAGGCTGACCCTGTGGTTGTATACATAGCGGTTACAGTAACAAACGCCTTAATCAGAATCGATATCTCGCTCAACGATATACACCAAGTTATTAAGTTAATCAGGCCATCCTCCAAGCTGGGATGGGATAGCATTGCACCATCTGCCATCCAACTAAGAGGGCCTGATTTACCACTGGAATCTAGTCACTTTCCATAACGATTAAAAACGTCATTTATTGTGTTTCTGCCTGAAACAGGTCTAAAAGAAACGAATAATAACTACCGGCTAATCCACCACACTCTAATAATTGCTAAGGTAATTGAAACATTGGATAGGAAGAAGTGATTAACTTCGTCGTTTCTCTGGGCCCGTTACATAATTAGTAGCATGGTTTCCTTGGCAAGCGATCATGCACCCACTATCAACTTTATTATTAGAATTGCCCTTTAGAATCTATCGATTCCAGCTACGCAGTAGTAATTCTGTTTCTGGACATACACCAAACATCCGGCAATATACTTCACAAGCGGTTCTTGCAAAAGTTAGAGGCCTTTGGGATCCGGCACGCACTACTCGGCTAGCTATCATCATACCTGACCGGTCATCACCAGTCAGTCACTCTAGCTGGCTAGAGCTCTTCTCTACGCCACATTACTAGTGAGGTCATCCAAGAGAGCGAGCTCGGTCTTTCATCGTTTCTGCTCTGCATCACTAACTTTACCGCATTACCATTTTTATTTGCCAACGACATCAAGATCATCTACAAGCTTCGGCGCGACAGACTCTGCAGAACCCTACTGCTCATGCTAGATGATGTACATTCCCAGTCATGGTGCAACATGTAGGTGATGAACCTCAAGACTAAAAAATCAAGTCTAACGGCTGTTCTGTTCACTAAGAATCTATCACACTAAGAAATGAACACTTCCTACACAGCCGTTCACGCTTGACCTTTAATTTCTCCGAACAGGCTCAACACCAAGTAGCACTTGCTGGACAATCTGTGTCTATTATATTCAACAAAATCCATAGAAATCATGCTAGCGTTAACCACAATAAGCTACTCACTCGCTCCATCCCCGAATATAAGAAAGAGCGACAGAATTGCAGTGGAACACTTGCATTGGTTGTTTACCAAGCATCTGACTGGTAAGCACCTTGCTATGAGTTATCGAGAACGTTGCAACGAACTTCAACTCTAACCATTTTAGATTTAATGACTGAAGCGTAAGTTGTTGCTGCATTTCATCCTGCTACACGAAAGGATTTATTCCACTCTGGATACCCTCAAACTACAACCTAATTCAACTGGCAAGCTTCACACTATAGCTTTTACACTGAATATACCAAAGGATATAAGGAACAACTGCATTAGTTTCTTCCTGGTTGATATAGCTATCTATGGAACAAATTACCAACCACGCACAGCTTTTTGATATTATAGCAATACTTAGCAACAATTTCCCGAATTACCTCGACTTAAATACCATGATCACTATATTCACACGGGTAACATCCTTCGGTGAGCTATTCCATGGGGGCCCAAGAACATTTAAACACCAATTTTCCAAAACGATGCTTTCGCCTCAACCACCATCAGAATGTAACTACATTAGATGCACACCCCAATATTTCACCAGTGCACATCACCTATGCAAGGATATATCAAAATCCTTCGGTCTTTCTAAGCTCAGGTTAAACCCGCCTTGGGGAAATGTGGGAAGAAAATGAACAAATAGGCAAGAGTTACGTCAGATGTCAAAACGTACAATCCCGCTAGCTAAAAAGCGTCGTAAAAGGTTCTAGCTAGGAAAGAGATATGCTCGATTCATCTCGTTGCCTCAAATACACGTAGTCATTGCTCGAACAGGCAGGCATTTTACTTACCTAGGTAAAAGCTGAAACCATGGTTGCTCGTGAAGCTTGGGCCGAGGCAGTGGACAATGGCCACGTAGTGGATGTGCTTTTCGTAGACTTCTCGAAAGCATTTGACAAAGTACCCCACTTGAGGCTATCACATAAGCTGAGGTCCTACGGCGTATCTGGCCGCGCCCTTCACTGGGTATCTGCGTTCTTGCAGGGAAGAGAGCAGTGTGTACGTGTGGGTCGCAGCTTATCCTTTAAGCAAGCGGTCCTTAGCGGTGTCCCACAGGGCTCGGTCCTTGGACCGATGCTGTTCTCCATCTACGTAAACGATCTCCCTGGAGAGCTTGGGGTATCATCCTTATTGTTTGCTGATGACCTTAAGCTATGGAATGTTGTAAATGTTCCTGGGGGTTCTGAGGCCATACAGCGTGCACTGGACAGACTCTGGGACTGGTCTACTTTGTGGCTACTGCCCATAAATCAGGCTAAGTGTTCCGTCCTTCGTATAGGAGCAACTTTCCCGCCTTCGAGCTACGTACTCGGTGGGGTCTAACTCCCCCTTGTCTCCAACCAGATAGATCTAGGTGTCGTTCATTCCTCGTCTTTGCATTCTGGTGACAACTGGAAGAAGGCCGCAAGTAGGGGTTTCAGAATGTTATGGTTAATACGCCGTTCTTTCGGGGTCTTAACTGCCGACATATTTGTGAAACTATTCTCAGCTTTCGTTCGGCCCCATCTGGAATACTGCGTCCAGGCTTGCGCGCCCTGCTTTGTTCGGGACAAAATGGAGCTTGAGTGGGTTTTGAGAGTAGGTACCAAATTGGTCGAGGGGTTACGGGGGCAATCGTACCCCGAGCGTCTACTTAGCTTGGGTATGTATTCAATGCACTACCGACGGCTTCGAGGAGACCTAATCCTTACTTACCGCAATTTAACAGGGAAGGTTGGGCCGGACTTGCGCTGGCTATTTAGCCCGGCTAGGTTGCCTTGTCTTCGCGGTCATCCCATGAAGCTACACAAGCCGCGTTCTGACGGGATCAGGGCGGAAACTTGGTTATCGCGTAGAGTTATCGAGCGCTGGAACTCGCTTCCAGAAAATGTAGTCAGTGAACCTACGGTTAAGGGTTTCGAGCGTCAGTTAGACGCTCTTGGGTGGCAACACGAAACCTTTCCCTTCTCCTGACCATATCCATCTTCAAACTTTCAGTTCTTATTCTGTCATTATCTTCACTCTTTGGTGTTATCCTTCATTTTAATGACTTTCATTCCCCTTTATCTTCCATTTACTTTCTACTTCTTTCTTACTTCACGTAACCTACACAGCGCGGACTGCTAGTGCAGGGAACGTGGGCAGTAGTTGGTTGATCAGGGTGTGTTTCGGGTGTTTCGTTTTAGATCTATCAAGAACTAACACCTTATCATTTCCTGGCTCAACGACTTGCTCAAGAAGGAACACTCAAGAGATTTTCCTATCGTTCCAGTCCATCTGAATCTGAATCTGAATCTTTCTAAACTGTTTTACACGTGGTAACCAGACAACCAGGGGAATCTCCAGGACACTATAAGAAATTTGATCCTTTTTACAGGTTGATCTGTGTCGCCACAGACAGTTTCTCATATCAAGAGATATGTACGTATTATCATTATTAAGTATTATTATTATAGGTATCATGCGTTCATTTACTACGTGGTGCGTTTGCATTAGATTGCCGACTGATAGATTCACTTTTGCATCCAATGTTGTTGGTTCTAATGTTATTGTTCAAATAAACGGTGTCATCTATCGGCTAAAATGTTCTCTATGTTGCACTTCTTACTCGGCCTCCTATTGCTCATTCGACTTAGTTGCGTGATCTACATTGCACTGCACGTTACCATGCTTTGCATTTTCCTTTGCAGGCGATTCATTAGTACGTTAGTTTTGTTTGGTCGCAACCTATAACAATCGTAATACCATACTCCTAGTTGTTTGCTCTTTATGACTTGGCACAATACACTGTTGCATGTAGTGATAGTCGGCCGGTGGCCGAGTGGTCTGCACGATTGCTCTGCAACCGTAAGGCCACCGGTTCGAATCCGCGCAGGGCTGGGCGTCCTCGCGGCATACTCAGCCAGCGCGAGGCTGGTGGTGGTCGCGCGGCAGCGAAGCGCCGTTACGGCGTACAGTTGACACATTAATTTTAGTATTTATTATTTATATAATGATAAAATCTAAATGGATCCATTCAACCTTTATTTAACTAACAAATTAACATTATCTTGTTCATATCTCACATGCACTTTCATAGATCTATGTTTATTTTCAACCATCTTTAGCTAATATCGCCGCCAAACTTACCATTTTTTCCATATCAGCTCTTCCTTGTTCGGCCTGAAGGGCTTTACGCATACCAAAAGCCACGCTTGATTCATACAACGTTTGGTATGCTGCAATAGTCATACGTATTTCATCCCTCACTCGAAGTAACAAAAGTCCCCGCTCCGCACAGTTAATCGTTACTTGACGGATAAGTTCATCGAAAACCTATTCTGAATAATGCCAACTGTGTGTTTGTACTTGATTATACAGTTCCCTACGGACTGGACAGATGCCTGTTTCACGAGCTTGTCTTTGCTGCAATCTCCTGTCTAACTCCTCTTGCAGATTGACTACATCCAATCTCGTGGCCGGTGTGCTAGACACGTTTTGGATCCACAATTGACCATTCTCTGTCCATTCCCTGCAACAAATAATATATAAACACTTCGAAGCATAAACCTGGGAGGTAATATTGAATTAAGTATCTCTTCTGTCTGTTGACTGGCTTTCTCACTAATTGCACCTCCTGTCTTACCTTTGCCCGGGGGACATGGAATCGCAGCGCATTCATCTATCTGTTGTATTCCTTTTAGTGACTTTGCCTACTAAGTTATTAATAGGTATATCTGCACACTTTAGGGGATTTTTTATCCAGGTTTTTGGTAACCAGTATGGGAGTGTCATACTTAACCAAAGAAACGCTAGGTGGCATCATTCTTCCCGCGTCTGGTTTGTAAACCCGCTGCCGTGCGTTGCTAGATGTCACGGTTTCAAACAATCAGCGCCCATCATAATAGTTAGGTGTTTGTGTTGTTGCAAAACACATAAAAATACTTTGTAGTGGTTTTTAATTTTCTACATACTTTTAAACTTTTCAGGTGACCTTGCACAATGGCGGATTTAGATGAATTTGCTTTGTGGCCTGTTCTGTGGTACACTAATCAGAGGAACCAATAGAATTTTTTAGCTATTGGTAGAAAAACTATTTTAATAGTTATATATACATACTATTTGTCAATAACGTGAATAAATTATGTTTCATTGCTGACTTTAAATTAGTACGTAATCCTGCACGTGAAAGTCTATGCTTCCTTAGTTTAAGGAGCTAAATATTCGATAATGCAAGACTATATCGCAAAGAAAAAGTAAGAACAAATTTTAGAGATTACACTCTTCCGGCACGTCGAATTTGTAGGATAGAACCCCGCCTGATACGCATCATTTCGACGTGCAACCAAACGATCCCCCTATAGTTTGAAGTCCATTAGCCGAAATGACTTGGAAGCAAATACCTAGGTAGACTTGTCCAATTAACACGGACAGGCTTTTAATTATTCTCAAATCTGAGTAGGCTAGTATTATTGCGGTAGCACTAGTTGAATCATAACGTTGTCGCCTTTTGGAAACTATGCCGGTTGTTTCAAGTGTTCAGTCCGTTTTGCACCTTCCACTTCGTTGCTATTGCACATCGTTTTATTACTTCAGCTATGTCATATTTCTGCCTACCGTTTCCACTTTACTATAGCTTGCTATTCTTCGACACGATGTTATCCCAACGGCCCTAGTCTGCTAAGCTGGATGCCCGCCTGCATAAAATCTATCTGATCAAACCCGTCACGGCATTTTCTGGTGCTGGTTAATGCCACGAATCCTGTCGCCGGTGTCGAGGAGGCTCTGCTGGTTTCCAAGAAATCCGAGTAAAACTACTTTTATTCAGTGAATATGTGCTTTATAGCCTCCCAATGTTTTGCGCTCGGGATACAGAATGCCTGGCTTTCACGGAGGCTGAATATACTTAACTTGCCACCAGCCAAACTTATCTAGTTCAACAAAGATTTCGGTGCTAAATCCTGTAAGGATTGCTAGTGGGGTCTCTGCAACATAATGCACCACTGAGTAGTCAACATTCCGACGCCTGTTATCTGTTCATTGCTTTACCTAGCTTGGCTGGCTCTCCAGTTAGCTTGACGCAGATAGATACCAATGCATCTTTAACTCAGGTCAAAGTGGATGCGCGTTAAGAGGCCGCGTGTCAAAATTATTACCTAGAAAAGAGCAAGAAATGCCCTCCAAATTTGGTTGTGCTAAAACATGCAGTATGCAACAACCTATGAAAGGAACTCCACATGCTCCTACTCGGCTGCCTCATGGAAACTTGTCGTGTTTTCGCTTTGTGTCACACTGCTTGGACCCAGGCTGCCAATTGGTGTGGATGTAAGTAGACGATGGAAGATACACAGGTTTGCGCAATACTTACGCAGGTTAGTGTAATTTATTCCACTGCCGCACTTTCCAGTTGGGGTATCCTTGATGATCTCATTTTGCTTGACCAATCTTTCTTCCTGGATTTTCTAGCGTTACTTCAAAAGTACCCTTTAGGTTGTGTAAGTTTCCGGTAACGATATATATATCCTGGACCCCGCCTGCGCAGAAGGCTTCTACATCCGAGAGCTGTCCAAAGCTATGCTGCTTTGTCTTTAAGCTTAGTGTTTGTAGTGTCAGCAAACCATGTGTCAGGTTAACCTTAAGGTGATCCAAACGCAAATAAAATCCCTGAGAGCAAGGTCTCTAGCTAGATTCGAACGGCAAACCTCACTTCATTTTTTCGTATTGTAAAAGTGTATTTCCGCAAACAAAAGCCCGCCCGCGACTCCCTAGGCCACAGCTGTCAGTCATGGGAGCAACAGGCTTGCGAGACATGAAAATACGAAATACTGCCTGGGAAAATGGGGGTAAGGATGGCGGATAGTATTGTAGTTAGGTGCTTTTTGCCCTATATTCAACCTTCCAACTACCAGCTGTCTTATGTGAAGGAATCCGATTAGGAAACTTATGTTAATGTTTGGGTTGGCGTAAGCGTTAAGTACGAACCTCCTTGGTTCTTATGTCGTAAGCTGCGTTATATCCTAGACCTAATAGACTTTTACCACGTAAAGGATTGGCTGTAAGACAATGTAACGCAATATACGGCGTAAATGCCTGAAATAATTACAGGTGAACGGCATTTGCGTTGTATGCACTGGTAAGGCCGAAACAGCGTGTAATACTCGGCTTCCCGCCACCCCAAACATAAAAAGTACATCCATCACTAAAATTGCTTTGATTCTTTTTCGCTAAGAGTGGTCCAACATAACCAATCAGACTATAAAAATGTTTCACCTAAAACGGACAAACTCTTGGATACTAATCGGTTGCGGAAGCGTCTCTAAAGTCTGCCAATTTGTGGTTTACAATTAAGTTGTGTTCAATGTAGTGCCGTCTCGTTCCACTGGTTGATCACACCATCTCTGTGTGTCTCTTTCCATTATGAATAAAATTTATCCGCCTATTCCAGCGCTGCGCAACCTAAGAACTCATTACCATTTGTGGCTTTTGAATGCGCCGCAGGCAATTGCCGGTTTCTGATATTATAAGAGCCGAAGGTCGGTGCCTGGTTGTCCGATCGCCTGTACTCAAAAGGACGTTTCCTATTAAATAAGCAAATAAAAGGTTAATTCTCGACTAAGTGAGGCACTCCTGCGCAGGCGGAATCATCCTACGTGTACAAAATATGTACGGTTAATGTATAATAGGACAATGGGATTGTCGTGTAGGTTGATATAAGAACGTATGTAAGTGTGCAGGTAGGTGTGTTTAGTTGTGTTTACCGAATTTGTAAGCGTTTTGCTGCCGTTTTGATCCTTCTTGAACGTGTCGCCTGTGATACATGGGTGCTTGAGGGCTGTTGACTTGAGGCGGTTGTTCGGATAAGCAATGGGTGATTTTATTTCGTGGCGATACATCACGGCCACGTCACGAGGTTATTAAACAGCCATCCGTTGCTTTTCTAGGGAGAACGCTCGTCGGGCGAAAACCTGTTACAACCTGGAACACTGCCACCACACTATTTGCCGGAAAGAGGTAAACCCGTCCCACCCAGCTGGCACCAGGTGGAGGTTGTACGGCTAGCCAGCTGACAGCTGAATCTTCACACACCGTTAAGGGTTGTAAAAACGCTAAAGCATAAAAAGCAACTACTTCTTTGCTCTGGTACAGCCTTTGACTTCATATGCTTCAATATGTTGAGTTAGTCTTGAAAAGGTGTGGAATTCCTGTACAGTTTACGCTGAATTCCCGCGGTGTCAACTACTTGCAAGGTTGAAAAATGCACCATTGTTTACTTATTCGTGTGACCGTACGTTGTCAACCGGCGGTCCAATTCCGCCTAGCCAGCAACCTCATCGCTTGCGCAATGTACGGGGCCGGCATGCCAAGGTGCGCCTATAAAGCCATTACTCACAGGTTCCAAAGTAGCAGAAATATTGGGCACATGCGCGTCTGCAGACGAGTACTGGGAAAACGGACCTACCCATATATAGCTGCACAACAAAACTACTCTGCGTCTACCTGTCACCAAAAGCTACCTTTCTCCCTCTAGTGCTTGTTCTTCATGCATTCGTGTATACCCCTAAACTACCTACTGCATCAGCTCCATATGATTTGGATATGTTTATCACTTCACCGTTACCTAGTCCGGGCTCGGCGCAGCTGTCTCGCCGGCGCTTTGATTACAGCCAGGCGACTGAGGTATAACACCACTTATATCGTATTTCCACCGATAATCTTTCTTCCTCAACTAAGATTTTTGATCTTCACACCTTTACTTAAAACCATTTCAACCTGATCCGTTGCTTAGCCGTCTGTGCCTGACCTATGAATCAATACAACCGCCTGGGTTAGCTCAGTAACGGCTGATCCATCACACCGCTCCTCTCCTTGACCTCGGTATGTGGCATTTCCTAAATTTTGTCTCACATTTTGTGTCTTGTATATCTGCTTGGGTTCTTGAGTTCATCCCTTCATCTGCTGGGCCGCATAGTCTTTCTTTCTGCTTAAGCCAGTCTCATCAGCGCTGTCTCCCTTGTTTTCTTATATCTGCTAGGCGATGAGTTATACTGACTAATGTTTGGCACTTCCACTGCTTTAAATTTTCCTTTACTTCATTGTTGCTCTTCTTCAAATTTTTTCTCTAAAGCCAGTACAATCCGATGATACGCTTATTCGTTTGAGCCAAGTATCCAGCGCTCACCTCAGTTGGCTTGCTTGTTGTCAGTCAGCTGCGATCATTCCGCACCGTCTCGCCTGTCTTCGCTGTTTCCTTACCTCGTTTAGACCACTGAGGCTCAAAAGCCTGGTTTACAGCAGCTTCACACGTGGTACTTATTTTAACCTTAACCAGGTCACGGCTATTTCACACTACCCTTCCAATCCTTAGCAGCGAGAATCTATGCTAACTTGCATGATTTCTCTGCCCATTATCCCGCCTCTCCCTGACCTTATGGAGCTATGCATGCCGCCTGGGATTAGCTCAGTAACGGCTGATTCAGCACAGCTTTTGCCTCCTTGACCTCCGTATGAGGTTTTTCCTAAACTTTCAGCTTTTATGTCCTGTAACTCTGCTTGCCGCTTTAGTTGTCATCCCACATCGGTTGGACCGAATAGCCTCTTCTCTCAGCCTAATCCAGTCTAGTCTAAGCTGCCTCGCCTGTTTTCTTACTGCTTCTGCGCGACTGAATTTTACTAACTCGGGCTTGGCACATCAACTGAATCTTTTATCTTCGCCTGCTTGGATTGCCGTTGCTCCCCATCGTTTACTCTAACGCCATTTAATGCTATGATACGCTTAACTTACTCTCACCTCTCCTGGCTTGCTTGCTGTCTGCCTGACGCCTTCGTCTCATATTGCCTCACCTGTATTTGCTGTTTCCTTACCTAAATTATTACATT